CCCTAGATGATGTGCCATAATTTATTAACCTTTTCTCCTAATGGTGGACCTTTAGTGACTTTAGACTTTTGAAATATTAGAAAAGGTGCCATGAACATCATGCATATAGCTTTTGAAGTAGTAGACTTTAATTTTTGCCAATATTGGTTAGGATAACAACTTGCATTGACTTTTCCAGCACAGGGAGGGAATCAGTAGTGTGTAAGTGGTGCATGAATTTGTTTTAGGGTAGTTATGGGGAAAACATTTTATTTTATGATAATAGGTGGGGTGTCAGACAAAGCCATATGGAAGGAAGTTAGGTAGGTTCCAGGATAAAGGAATTGAATGCCTGCTTAGCTAAACCTAGAAGGTTTGAACAGCAAGCCTAGAAGGAAAGAAAATTTCCTCTAAATTACATTAGCAGAAGAAAAATCCCTAAAGTCACACCTGTGCACTACATGTCTGACTGAAAACTCATGCAGTCCACGTATTTTAGAATCATTCTTTGTTGTTTTCTTATGGCCAGTGTTTTGAAATTCGTTTATTCTTTGCTCTCTGAGGCCCTCTTCTGGAAGCAGATATTTTTTCTTTTCTGGAAAAAGACAGTTTTCAGAACATACTTAATTGTGACATCTCTTATTGAAATTACCGGATGGGTCTCTGTAGGTTTATTCCTCACTCTGAGAACTAAATCAAGGCCTTGTTTCCCTCCTGCAGCACCACAGTTATCCAGAATGTAAATAAAGCTCAAGTGAAGATTCGAGCGAAGAAAGATAACGTGGCAGGTAACTTTTCAATCCTTCAGAACGCTTGCAGGAGAAAAGGTGACATTTTATAATTAACCTGTTTTTACAGCAAGGTCTTGATATCCCAGTTAATCTTTTCTACTTAGAACAAGTCGATTGGCTTTACATGTTAAACTCATTATAACTGGTTGTTGCCCCGACTTGTTCAATGGATATAAAGTTATGGTCATACAAGATAAATACATTCTAGAAAGATGCTGCACGGTATGGTGCCGATAGAATAATATGGTGTTGTGCACTTAAAAACTTACGAGTGTAGATCTCATGTGTAAGTGATCTTAACACATACAGAGGAAAACTGACATGTTTTTGAGGTGATGGATATGTTTATCACCTGGATTTTGGTGTTGGTATCATGAGTATTTGCATATGCATAAATTCATCAAAATGCAAGCATTAAATATGTACTATCTTTTATACATTAAGTATACCTCAAAGCGGAAAGAAAAAAGCCCACCATAACAACCGGATCCCTCATTACTCAGGATCATTTGATTTTTGAATAGGAATAAACATGTAAGAAGACAGGTCCCTAAATTCATTCTTTGAAACCAGTTACACTTATAGACAATCTCTTGCCTTTTTCTATGTTTAACAGGTGTTACTTTGCCAGTATTTGAACATTATCATGAAGGAACTGACAGTAAGTGTAAAACTTTTTATGTTAGTGTATGTCTCTGGGATCTCCCGATTCCTCTTTAAATGAACCTCATTCTGGAACATGGTGCTAGATAGTTCAGTGGTTCCAGCATTAGAGCCTTATCTGATACAGTCAGGACAAATTAATCAGTTAAACAAAAAGTGTGTCATTAAACACTGGACATGTCTTAAAACATTTTAATTCAGCCTAACTTTATGTATAAATGCATAGTCATTTACTGTTTTAAAAATACAAGGTCATGGCCTTTGAGTATGAATCCACCGATTAGAATTACATGTTGTCTTTCTGCATAAACCACACCCATAATGCATTGTTTATAATTTCCAGTTTGGGTCTCTCTAAAGTAGAATAAGATCTTAGATACTGTGATGCAATTGAATGTAGAATCTTCCTACATTTTTATAGCTCAGTCTCAAGTTTTTAATTGTTTAACCTTTTCCTAATTTAACACCATTTTTGGGGTATTAACTCATTTCTATTGAGCCTTTTCAAAGTAATCAACTTTTTTTCCCCTTAAAACAAAAGTATTTTTTTCCTTAAAACAAAAAAAGTATTCTTTTTTTTGGGCGACCATCTTTCATTGGTTCACATAAAATACTTAGTGCAATTCAAAGAAGTAGAGCGTTCTAGAGAGTCACCTGTTAATAGGGTGCATCACTATTCCGGGGCATCAAACAGTATGGTCTGCAAAGGGGATGGGGTACATAGATTAATCCAGCAACCTGGTGAAGTGAGGGTTGGTTTAAAACTTCTGCACAGTCAGAATAGTATCCTCATGGAAGACTATTCAGCAGCATGCCCTACAGTGTTGGGGGAGTGAGATGGGCACTTCCCGTTTGATTTAACAGCGATAGTGTGTTTGTTTTTCCATTTTGCTGCTGTTCTGACATCTTTTGGGGGATTTTATGGGGAGGGTTGTTACTCTGTAATTACAAATGTTGTCTGACTGGTTCTTTCAGGTTATGAACTGACCGGTTTAGCCAGAGGTGGGGAACAATTGGCTAAATTAAAGAGGAATTATGCCAAAGCAGTGGAACTACTGGTCGAACTAGCCTCGCTGCAGGTAGGTAGCAGAAGAGCTGGAGGATTCCTGTAGTTTGATTTCTATTATTTGAGTGCAGGAGATTCAGTTCTTGAATCAGAGCATACTGCACTTAGTACTTTAAACTGTTTCCATGACCATATATGAAACAAGCCAAAGATGTTCTGATTTCTGAAATGGTGGCTTCTGCTTTTATTACTAACAAAATTCTTGTACAGTGGTGTAGTTTCACTCAGCAACAGTCAGTAGCAGACTTAAATGCAACTATAACATGGTTTATGCATGAAAACCATATTTTTTCTTTTGTGGACAGTTTATACCTAGGCCATTAGTGCATGATTCTTTCCTTTTCCCATTTTTATAGTTTTAGGTAAGTCTGAAGTAAATAAATTATAATAGCATGGAGATCGTATTTGCTCTGTGGACATATCACAATAATTTTTTTAACGTGTCGAAGAGTAGTAGTCTTGGTTTCCAGATGTTCTCTGCAAGTGCAGACTGAGTGGAGCCAGGTGAACAGGGAGGCTTTTCGCTTACATAATCAGTATGTCCTCTTATTGTAGACTTCCTTCGTTACTTTGGATGAAGCTATTAAGATAACCAACAGGCGTGTAAATGCCATTGAACATGGTGAGTGCAAGCTGCTGTGAGGGTCTTTGTTCATGCACTTGTCCATACCTCTCCTGCTGGGAGTCAGGCACTGACCACGAGATGGGTAAGATACTGCCCACAGTGGGAAGAGCAGTCAGTAGTGCAGTAAAGAGTTATTAAGTGCTTTGATAGAAGGATGTGTATGATTTTGGGAGAGTTACAGAGAAGAGTGGTGAGTTAAAAATTATGGAATATTTTACTCATTTCTGGCTATTAAGGAGTGGAAACACTTTCTGTAGAGCTGTAGTAATTTTAGTTCTTTCTAGTGATTTATCTTTTTGAACACATTAAATATTTAACATTAAACCCTTTCCCTTAGGCCTGATGTCTTGTTCTTGTGCTGTTCTTGATTTCTAAAAATAAGTTTCCCAGGGTGGCTTCGTAGTGTAGTGGTTAGCACGTTTGCTTTACACACAGAAAGTCCTGGGTTCGCACCCCAGGTGAAGCCACAGACCATACCGTGGGTGCGCCAGGCCCCGGGTGCGTGCCCCACTTTCAGAGATCCAGTTCTTAAAGGGAGATGGCAACATCCGTAGGTCAGGGCTGGAAGTGGGGGCGGGGATGGGATTAAAGAGGGGAAAAAATGTTTCCCCATTTGATGCATCTATTTTACAGCTCTTATTTCATTATTTTAAAACTATGCTTAGTGTTGATACGTTTTACTCAAGAAACTCAGTTTTCATTAAAGGAACATTTATTCAATTTTAATGTAAGAAAGCAAAATTTGAATAGCAAATTATTATGCTTGGTCTCTCCCAGTTTTAGAATAAGTTATCTTTTTTTAAAGAACTGAAAACACATTTCCTGACTGCTTGCTAGTGCCAGCCATTGTACATGGAATTGCAAAAGAGTAAATAATAGTTCCAACAAGAGTTCACATTCTAGAAGCAGAATAGGCAGAATCTATGTAAAGTAGAACCTCATAATTGACACAAAACTCAACTTGCTGCATTCTCTCTGCTTCAATGCTCCACTTTTTAACAGCCGATCGACTGTATTTTAAATAACATTTGTGGTTCAATGTTGTATGTTCATTTAAATTCAGTATACTGTGTTGTATATATCATGGTCCAATGTTATCTGTCCATAGAAAAGACACTAGAGGAACTTATATCCAAAGAATTACAATACTTTAGGGTGGTTGGATTATACTTTTTTTTTTTTTTTTCTGTTTTCTACATGAAATGTACATTAATTTTACATTTAGAAAAAATAGTATTACACAAATGAGTACTGGCAATTTGAAAAAAAGAGGAAGCTTTAAGTTCTCATGTGTATATATATTTTTAAACCCTAGTCATCATTCCACGGATTGAACGTACCCTTGCTTATATCATCACAGAGCTGGATGAGCGAGAGCGAGAAGAGTTCTATAGGTTTGTTGTACTTGGCACTTACTGATAATTTTCTGTTTTCTATATTCCAAAGTCTCAAGATTTGCTGAGACTCATTGGCTTATTCTTTAGAATTAATTGGCACATCTTATATTTTATTCTGATAAATAAGAAATAATATTGCCAAAGGCTGTGGAGACAGATCTATGCCAAGTTTTGCACATACCTAAAACATGGCATCTCCAAAAACTTTGGCCCTTCTGAGAAATTATTAATAGACTTGATTATTCTTTAAATTGAAACAGTGATTTCGATTGGGTGTCTCCCACATTTAAAAGAATTAATCAACCACTATGTATTGCATGTTGAGTATGTTCCAGGAGAAGGTATAAAGTACTTGAGGGCATTACATAATGGTATAAACAGTAACATTAGAGAATTAGAATATTTAGAAGTGATGCATGTACATAATTGGTTATGAACATTTAGAACTAGTAGGGACAATAAATACCAAGTAGGGCCAGTTTTCCAGGTTCAGAGAAGTGGGGGACAGGTGAAGGCAGACATATTCAGGGAAGACATGGCCATTTTGGACCTTGGGTAAATGTCTGAGTTTGATTTTTAATGTTAATCATCAAAGGTTATTTAGTTTCTGTCTTTCAGTGATCCAAATGAAATGATCCAAAATTTTAATGTCTGAATGCTCAAAATCTGTTCCATCATCAAGGAATGGATTTCAAGGTTTATTTACCATGGGCTAGGAGCTTTTGAAATCAGTTATTAGCTTGAAATATGTATATACTATACCTCAAATCTTTATTACTGAAATTGAAATAAAAAAATTGTTCTAGTTTGTAGGTCATTATACTTATTATAAAACTAGAAGAAAGGAAACCTGCTTAGTAGTGAAACAGCATTCAAAAATTCTTTTATTTTACAGGTTAAAGAAAATACAGGAGAAGAAAAAGATTCTCAAGGAAAAATCTGAGAAGGACTTGGAGCAACGGAGGGCGGCTGGAGAGGTGATGGAGCCTGCCAATCTTCTAGCTGAAGAGAAGGATGAGGACCTTCTGTTTGAATAATTTTCTCTGCTCTGGTTCTTTCAGAGGTCCTAACATGGCACCATTTTAGTTCACGGTGTATAGGTTTGGTATGTGTGGCTGTTTTTTGGCCTAAGAATTTTACCAGTTGTAAAATTTCCCTGGATGTCCATTTATGGGTTTACCTTTGCAGAATCATAATTCAGCAACCATTTATCACAGACAAGATTATAGAACCTGCCCAGGAACCTGTAGTATTCTGCAAAAGTGTCACCCTATTCTATTTACATCTGTGTTACAAGTGATTGGCTTACCAGGCATATTAGGAAATTCCCTTTAGGAAACAGCAGAGGTATCAGGCCAGCCACCATAGGCCAACTACTGCTGGACTACCCACTCGCATGACTTGGCGCTTGTGTCTGGGATCGCTGCTGCCATCCTTGTGTTACTGTACTTCTCAAGCTTTATGAAAACCTTCACTTATTTTTCTTTGCATGACACATCTCTGTCTCATTTGTCATGGGAGCAGTTTTGCCAGTTTAAATGTGACAATGGTATAAACAGTAAAATGATTAAAGAATGAGTTGTTCTTTTTTTTAAAAAAACATAAAACAAGGAACCAGAACCTGTGTCTGTGCCAATAGGGGTCATTCCTATTCCTGAAAAATAAATCAAAAGGTATTTTGTGTTTCACCCCAAGGTTCCAATGGACTTACTTCTAGTAAAAACTTGAAGAGACAGTGGTCGTTACATGTGTTGAACCCATGAATGGCAGAGGATATAAATACAGCAAGAGAAAGCACTCAGTAGCTTTTATTTGAAATATAATTTTACTTTTTATTTTTACAATACAGTGTGCAGTATGACATCTCAAAATAACAGAGTGCAGATACAAGATAACAGTACAAAGGAGGATTAACAATAAATGTCAGAAAGGTTACCTTTATTAAGGCTTAAATCCCTGGTTCATATTTTCTACACACATTCACAAAATTACATTCAAATTATTCCTTATCAATACTTATTCCTTAGGCCATGAGAAAAGGAAAAGAAATCCAGACATTTTCATAGAAAGCAAATCTGGATTAGTTTACTAGTCTCTTCCATTTGTTCTGACTTAGAAAATTTAGTAAAGGAAGACATTTCCTTATTTGAACTAACATGTGCATTTCATTAGCTATTGGTATCATTCCTATAAGTGGTTAAGACCTCTCCCCAACTAGGGTCTCCAATCAGAACCACAGAGGGACAGGAAATGGAACTGGCCAGAGCGGCTGGACAGCTAGGTATACAGCAAGGCTTTTGTCCTATTTCCTTTCAAGAAAGTCAGCAACAACTTGGTTTTCACTTTGTTTAGGGACTGTGTTGAATATCAGCACATCCATTTTATCTAGAATTGAGAAAAGTTTGGGACATAAACATTTCTGTCTCTTTACCATTGCTGATGAGGAAAGAACTAAGACTTTACTGACCCCCCAAATATCTTTTGTCACCTTAGACTTCCTAAAGTATGTTACAGCCTGGCATGTGCCTTGGTAGGGGATTTGCTTGATGGCACATGGCCCTAGTGTGGCCCAGCAGTCTGCATGCTAGCTCAGAGACTGGCACAATGGAGCCACTTACCGACACTACCTGAGATCTCAGTCTAAGCTAATTCAAACTGCCAACACTTTAGATCTTAGGGTTAAAAATAGTTGTCAGTTATGATACGCAGCTCACAAAACACCACTGTCTAGACTACCTTTCATTCCTGAGAAAGTAAAATGGAAAACTGAAAAATGAAGTCCATACATTCCTTGGTTTTCAATGCTAAAAATCAGTGTGAGCTTTGCATCTTCTGCCATAAGCTTGGAGTGTTTCAGACCTGAAGAGACTACGTGTGGCGTCCCTTCCCTTAACCCAGGAATGTTACCTTCTTCCTAAGGAGCATTATCTTGAAAATTTCCACATAGGACACACTCCACAGCCAACCTCAAGGCCATGCAAATTTGAATAGAAAAAGGCAACTTATATACTATCAACATTTGTTCAAATAAAATTATGTGAAAGATACATGACACCAAGACAAACTACTCATTAAAAATAACTGCTTATGTTAAATTAAGTGACAACTCAATATTATTCCAGTGTTTAGCATGAGAACAGGAAATGCTGTAGCTAAAGTCATAAAAATAAAACCAAGACATTCACATTTGAGGTTGGTTGTCACATGTCATGCCATCCCTAAAGGCTTGAAAAGACCACAAATTAACTCCATGCCAGTATGGAAATCCCATTAGCTTAAACACACGATTTAGCAAGCAGTTGAATTCTGGTGATAAGAGGCAGACCTTGTTAGGATAAAAACCTCATTATATGTCCTTAATGCCCCTTCCGCCATATTCTTTTCCTAAAATATTCAAATGACTTTCAGGTCATCCTTTCTGATCTCAAAGTCAATTGTCATAGTATTTCCCTCAGATATAATTTTATTCCAATGCTGAACAAGTGTTATGAATGACCATTATTAAATATTAGTACATAGTACAGCAGCTATATTCATTACAATTCCAGTTTATTACCTATATATCACTCATCAAATTATACTGTGTTCCTATATAAAAAATGCAAAAACTGTCAAATGTCACATCCTCTCATGTATATAAAAAATTATTTGCATCATGAGAAAGTCAACAGTTTATATAAACATCTGCCATTCATAAAAATGTAACTTACACATTCTATTGTACTATGCAGATCAGAGAAAGGAAGCAAGGTTATCAAATCAGTTACGACAATTTAAGAAAAAAATTCAAAAAGTCATATCTTTAATAAGATCAGCATATGTTGTATGTTTCACTAGATCAGTCTGCTGAGTGTGTAGTAAAGTCTGATCCACAGTTTGAGCTAAAAACTTGGTGATTCTAACGGAATGTTTTTCACGAATTAAAAGACATGCACATGAATTCAAGCCTAACAGAATAGTGCCAGACCAGTGGCACCTTAAAATTTTTTTAGGAAAGTATTTATGATGACTAAACCAGTTTTCTAACCAAATATTGTCTTGCCCAGAAGCAAAGTGCCTACCCCTCCCCCCAAATTCTCATGTAGTCATTTAAGTTAACTTAAATAACATCGATATTTATATAACTGTGAGACAGGGACCGTTGTGTACATACACACTTTCTTTATGGAAATTGCGCAGAAAAGATTTAGGTGAAAACAAGGTTTTTACATGGATAAAATGAAACTGCTCTGTTGAAAGCTTCCATTCAGAATCCCCAAATGAGGCAAGACTGGCTAAAGCCAAAGAAAATAAAGACTGCTGTGCACAAATTGCCTAAGGGGACTTTGTTCTCACTAGTTTGAGATCTAAGATCAGGACCACATTGCCTGTCACCTTAGACTCAGTCTTGCTGAAGTATCAGGGCTACCTTTGTCTGGCACTTTGCCGAATCAAGTCCAATCATGCCACAGAATGGATGCTTCCTTCACCTCAGCCAAGTCGATGGCACCCACTGAGGTTCAGTATCAAGTTTGTTAATTAACCTAAGCAATTCCTGATAGGCTTTATCAAGATCTGAATTCACAATTGCTGTGTCAAAATAGTGGCCGTTGTTCTGTTCCATCTCTCTAGTCTTCTCAATAATTTCTCTCAACTCTTCAGGCTGTAAAAGTAGATAAAAACTGTGAGGTTAACTCCATTCCTTATGAAAATATACGAGTCAGATGGCCAAAGAACAAGAAATAACTTTACATTGCTTTCCTTCTCTCAAAATACTCAACCTCAGGAGCCCCCAACCCTGCCACGCCACAGTGATTTCTTTTGCTCTGGTATCTTCAGGACTCACTTTGGGAATCATTTGGGACTCAATATAACCCATTTTTACTGCGATTTAGGTTTTCATGTATGTCTTATCTCACCCACAAAACTAAAGGCATCAAGCACAGACTTCCACTTGGAATTCCCTACATCCATTCATTCTTAAACATTTTTGGGCATCATAATCTCTTCCAAAAAATAACATCCTCTGTAAAATAACCTTCTGATTGGAGCAAGGGTGGCAGGACCCCAAAGCACCATCTACTCTTGGCTCTTATAAAAAACCTCTGCTCTTTATATCTGTTGCAGAGTTAGGCAGAGTAAATATTAATGGCAAAGCAAAGGATCAATAGAATGGGTATCTTTCTATGAAAACAATGCAAATCAACCCAAGATTTAAGAATTGAATACAGCTGACCCACGAACAATAGAGGTTTGAACTACATGGGTCCATTAATACAGATTTTTTCAATAAATACCTGTAACTGTTTTCTATCCAAGATTGGGAGTCTGTGGATATGGGGGGCTGACTGTATGCACTGATCTATGCCATTTTATACAGGGGGCTTGAGCACTGCAGAAGGGTTCTAGAACCAATCTCCATGGATACAGAGGGTAGTTAAGTTTTGGGGGAGTCTCAAAGTTATATGTGATTTTTAGCTGCATGGGGGTCAGTGCCTCTAAACTCTCGTTGTCCAAGGGGTGACTGTTTTTGTGTTTTTGGGAAATATTCAGCTTATACATTATATTGTTACTCTGTTTTCAATACACAAAGAAGGTCTTTAAGATGCAAAAAGTATCCTAAGAAGAGTTTGAGAAAGATATAGGTAGAGCAGGCTACTTGAAAATATAGGTAGGGTAAGGGAAACAACTGTTTCACATAGACAAGCAGGTGGCAAGACTATGTACAAAACTTATCCAGAACCCTGATTTATCAGATATGTGTGTTCAATAAAGTGAAACTGCCCCCAAATTATACGTCAATGAAGAGAACTAATTAAACTCAAGTCCAAATGTCTCATATATAAAAGTCACATATTAATACTATATTAGACCCACGATACAAAATATATCATTCAACTGGTTGAACTTCTGTAACAGATGGAAATATATTAAACAAATGGCAGCTGTGGCCTGTCCTCAGGCAGTTTCTTGTGTGTTCTCTAATTTTCATTCTGGAATGTTGTGCATCTGGCTATGTTACACAGAATCCTTTGTTCCCTAGCCAGGGGCTCTACTACACTACTAAAATTGAACACACTGACATTCTTGCTGAAACTTATGTCTACTCAAAGCTCAAGATTATTGAAAGAGCATTCCAGAACTCAAAATAGAATATAAACTTTGTAGTGCTAGAGTTGCAATGTAAATGTTAAGCCCCTCATCTTACATTCACATGAATAACCAATTCACCTAGCTTTTCTTTATCAGATTTAAGGCATTATTTCATCTTTTGCCAAAATGGCTATCAGTTATTTTGTTTTAATTTCCTCTTATTTTTCTAATTATAACTCATGACTAAGAAGAAACAAAATATTTTTGCTCAAAAATTTTGGATTGAAAAAAATTAGCCTATAGGGAAAATTGACCATATCGGTTTATACCATTCTTGAGCCCCCATTTTAACAGAACAGAGTCTCAGATTCAGAGTACAATCAGGTAACTGACTGTTTACATTCTCTGTCCTGTGAGGAACACCTAGCTAGCACAGTTTCACTGACTTAAAATTGAGGATTTGTTTTTACTCAACACTTTTATTGCGTAGATGATAAAGCACTACTGGAAATACTAAAAAAGATAACAATATAAGTGGAATTAAAAGACAATCAGATACACCATCCTCTTCCCAACTGCAGAATATACGTCCTTACTGATGTGCATGAAATATGCACTAGAACAGATGCTGAGTCATAAAATAAGGTTCAACAAATTTTGAAAGACTGACATCTTACAGAGTATGTTCTCTGACCACAATGGGACTATAAATCAATAAAATCTTAAAAAAAAAAAAAATCTCCAAATAGGTGGAAATGTCATACTTCTAAATAACCCACAGGTTAAAAAAGAAAATGCCAGGGAATTAGAAAATATTTCTAACAAAATAATAATAAAAAATATAACCTCAAATTTAGTAGGATGCAACTGAGGAACTGCTGAGAGAGACATTTATAGCTTCCTATTAGAAAAGAAAGGTTTAAAAATCATCTAAGTTTTCCTCAGACAGTAGAGCAAGTAAACTAAAGCTGAAGCAATTATAAGGAAAGAATAAAAATAAGATAAGTCAATTAAATAGAAAACAGACCAAAAAAATACAATTAACAAAGACAAATGTCCCCTAAATTCTTTTTCTAAAGTGTTTTGATTACTCCTTTTAATTCATATAAAATTTAAAATCATCTTTTCAACTTGTACAGTAAAACGTGCTGGGATTTTTTTGGGGGCGGGGGGTGGTCAAAGGAAAAAAGTTATTTATGCTTTCACCAAAAAAAAAAAAAAAAAGAGCTATAGAATGTAAAACACCATAAAGTCAGGTGGAACTGCATAAGGAATTTTCACTTCTTTTTCAGAGGAGAAAGGAGTTATATGGAAACTTCTCATTCCCCTCGCCATTCCTTAAGGTCCAAAGTTGAAGGCACGTTATATTGTAGGGTCCATCACAACGTAAGAAAAACCACTTATGCCACTTTTCTTCCAGCCTTAGCAGGATGGAAACACAAGTCCTAAGTGCTATATAAGACTCCATAAAAAAAGAATGAAGTAATTTATAATATAGCAGCCTCTCATCCTAGGCAAGTGAATAGGGTTTCATCACTGGACTCAAAACTTTTGTTTCCTTTTACCAACTTTTCTCTAAACCCAAACATGAATTAACAGGATTTGCATCTATGTGCAATGTAGTCCTTCCTTAAGAGAACACAAAAATACATTTAAAAAAAATCACCTTTTTCCAATCCAAATCATAGATGGAGCTAAAATGTAGAGAAGATATATCGGCATTTCAAGATTGGGAAAAGTGGCCTAGGAAGCAGGACTACCCACTACAGGAGACAACACAGGAATACTTGTGAAATCCTGAGTTCAGAATTTTGTTTTCTTTTCGAGATGAATATAAAAGTGCCTAAAAAAGTATTGGAAAATGTTCTTTCTCACTCCAGCCATCAGAAGCTGTAGACCATGCGGGGGCCAGCCCACCCCCAGCCCAAAGGTCAGGCAAGCTGCAGAGCTCCTCACTCTGCCATCTTTGCTCTGGGATTTTTTTTTTTTTTAAATCAGTAACAGCTTTCTTGATAATATGTTCATTTACAAGTCACCCATTTGAAATGTACAATTCAATAGTTTTTAGTAAAGTCACAGAGTTGGGCAATCAGCATCACAATCAGCTTTAGAACATCTGCATCATCTCTCACCCCAAACCTATACCCATTAACAGCTACTCCTCATTTTCTGCCAACCCCAGTCCTATGCAACCACTAATCTACCACCAATCTACGATAGGTCTCTATAAATTTACCTATCCTGGACATTCTATATAGTGGAATCTTAGAATATACAGTCTTTTGAGATGGCTTCTTTCACTCATAATGTTTTCAAGGTTCATCCATGTGGTGCCATGTATCAGTATTTCACTTCCTTTTATGACTGTTTTTCTTTTTAATGACTTTTTTTCAAGACATATACAATAAAGCTACAGTGATCAAGACAGTGTGATAATTAACATAAATACAGAATAGAGACCAGAAATAATCCACCCCATGCCCCCCACTGCATATTTGGTCAGGTCATTTTTTTATAAAGGTGACAATGGAAGAAAGGATAGTCTTTTTCAAGAAATGATTCTAGAGCAACTCGATATTCATGTATGATTAAAAAACAACACAAAACAAAAAAGCCCCTTTTAGAAAAAAACAGAATAAAACCTTTGTAACCCTGGAGTAAACAAATTCTTTTAGTAGACAAAAATCATTAAACACAAGAAAAATGAAAAAGTGTATTTCATTAAATATTCCTGATCTTCAAAAAATACTATTAAAAAAGATACAAAGACTTTGAGAAAATATTTACATCTAGACTATAAAAAGAATTTTTACAATTCAGTAAGAAAAAACCCAATTAAAAAAAAAAAAAGATTTGAAACATTTTACCAAAAAATATGCCTAAATGATTACATAAAACGATGCTATCATTAGTCATCAGGAAAATGCCAATGAAAACCATAACACCACCACTTCACACCTATTAGAATTAAAAAATTGTTACAAACCAACAACAGCATAAGTTGGTAAAGATATGAAACAAATGGAACCAAAGTGGGAACAAAATAGCAAAGTGTTTTAAAAAGTTTGGCAGTTTTTATATAGTTAAACATACACTTAGCATTTGATCTAGCAATTCAAGAGAAATGAAAACAAATGTCCACCCAAAGACTATGAACGTTTATGGCAGCTTTAGTCACACTAGCTAAAAATTAGAAACAATTCAAATGGTTTTAACTGATGAATGGACAAAATTATGATAATATTAAGATCATGGTATATATCACTTAGCCATAAGAAGGTATGAACTAATGTTAGATACAACATAGATGAATCTCAAAACATTATGCTGATCAAAAGCCAGATGCAGACTTAAACATACTCTATGTTTCTACCTATTAACTTCCAGAACAGACAAATCTGTAGTGACAGAAGGCAGATTAGCGGTTGCCTGGGGAAGAATGAAGGGGTATTAACTTCAAAGGGGCATGAATTTTTTGGAGTGATAAAAATGTTCTAAATCTTGACTGGCATGTTATACAGGTATACATTTTGCCAAAACTCACTTACGCAACTGAAATGCACGCATTTTATTTAGGTAAAGTAACCTCAATAAAGTTAGTATTTTTAAATTAGAAAATCCTAATTAGAAAATCAAGCATAGTATATACTGTAAAACATTTTGGTACTGATTAAGTTCCTACTTTAAAAAAATATGCATATCTAGACCTCACTCAATTTCGGATGGCTAATTCTGAATAAAGTAATTATAAAGTAGGTAAAAAATTCCATGAGATCATTGCCAGAGACCACCAACCAAAAAAAAAGTTGCTTAACATGTTTTTGAATTGTATATATGGCCCTTGGCATGATATTGAATCCTTGAAGAATAACCTAACTTAAAAAAGTATGCATATTAGAAAATAGAAAATTAGGCCCAACATATAGAATAGAGTCTCCTTTGGTCCTTAAGGTGCATCTGTCTCCTTGAACAGCCATGTTACTTATTTACCAAAGCAGTTACGGGGCACCAAGTTTCACACAGTATGAATTTTGTTTTCCTTATCATGTTGTGATCCTCCTAAAGAACAGCTAGCGACCACGTCTCATATTTCTTTTGTATCATCCCAAGTGCAAAAGACAACAGATAATCAACCTGGCTTCACTTAATTATGAACTTAATATTGTGTTGAAAAAGGAGTGAAACACTACTTTAACCAGCTAGTCAACTTAGCCTAAAAATTATGCTCAACATATAGGGTAAGAAAGCCTCTGGTATCTATAGCCTAAGATGTTGAAAAATACTACTTTCACATACATATAGACTGAATAAGAAATGTAAGTAGACCTAGAGTGAAGAAAGGTATCATGGGAGGAAGGAGAGTTGGTGGCTGTGGTGAACAGTCGAGAACCAAAGAAAAGGAGTATTGTTGTGCTTTTAATGACTTTTAAGAAGCTTTCAAGGGAGAGTGTTATTACTTGTTTTTATGCTTTTAAGAGTACAGCAAATGAGATGACATGAGTTATTCCTCTGTTAAATAGAAATATTTTAAAAATCAGCAAAAACCAAGGAAGAATATTTGTTACTTTGACAAAGCAACTCTTGTGAAAGCTTTTATTTCACCTGTTTAAATAAAAACTCAATGCTTTCTAACTAATATATCAGTATATTATCATTTACTGGACAACCATGTTCAGCATCTAAAACAATTTAAAATTTTTTTCCATTTCAGATCAGAGGAGAAGATCAAAGGGAGGAGACAAACAGAACATAAAATTTCAATGAGAAAAAAAGAGGAGAAAAACAAGAGTACTCAGTGTTTGCTACTGCATATGCGGAATATCTGCAGAGAAAAGTGGGTAATCCCTAAGAATCTGGTGAGACTTTGTGTGTGGGGTGTCCCATGATGCCTGTTGGAAATAACATATACTCGTATGGAGAAGATTAAGGAAGTGTTAAGGAACGCCAAAGCTTACCATACATTTGGAGTAACATCAGGGAATGTGTGGGGAACAACATGAGAAGCCACGTTCTTTGGAGAGCTGCCATAGTCTAACCAGAGGCAACACAGCAATTTTTGGGAGAGTGATATGGCAGAGAGAATAATCAGTTTGAAAGCTCAAGCTGATTGTAGCTTTTAAGTATTGTGACGTATGAGGCCATGACTGTTTCATGTTTATTCTCAATGGACTAGTACAATGGTATAGTAACGTTACCTTTGGGTTCTTGCCCTCTTTGGCCAGTAATGCCCGAAGTCTTTCTTGTGAAGGAGGTGCAATGAAAATGATATATGGTTTCAAGTCTGAATTCCGGAGAGTCTTTAATGACTAAAAAGAAATTTTGAATCTTTAAAAAAATGTTCAACATTTAACTACTTTCCAACAATATACTTGAAATATAATAATGTCGTTAAAAACAAAAAACAAAATGAAAAAACATTACTTGTATTTCCAAACATCTTTGTAACAAAAAATTCACAATATTTTAAGATCCTACCTTTCATTCACTGTAAAAATAAACTGTGTACCTATAAAATCACACACCAGACACACACATACACACATACAATACTGGCTTGCTCTTTTTATGTAATGAAATAAAAATGAATGACTCTGAAGGATTACAACTATGTGATGCTATAATACCGTGCTAATAAGATCATATACAGACTATTATATTAAAAATACTAAAAATCCATTTTGGAGAAATTAGAAATGAGCAATCACCTTACCATGTACCAGGGTCTAAATGTAAGCAGAATCAAAGAGAAAAACTTCACGTACATATACGAAAGAAAAAAATCTGGAAAAGCACATCCAAGAAAAAGCAGACTCTGTTTGAATTAGGAGATGGTGGTTTTCATCTTGCCTTTGCCATTGCATGACAGTGTTGTCCCTAAACTGAAGCTCTCTATCAAAATGGGGATTACAGGGACATGCCCTTTTCTATCTAAAAACATTATTAAGACAATATTGCTTAACTTCTCTAAGTTCTTTGGTAAATCTGCTAGCCCAAACAGTATAAAGAACCCTGAAGAAATTTAGTAAAAACATTTATGCTTATCTTAAATATTGTAATTGAAATAGTAGACTAAACTCTTTCGTCTGCTATAAAAAAAAATAAACAAAAGCAAAAAAATTATAACTCCAATTTTAAAAGAGGCATTTTAGGCTCAATTCTCTTTCATATACATCTCTTTAATGACCTTTGCAGTAGATTCCAGTACATTTAAGACAATTTTATGTTGAAGCTATCTAGTTTACAAGTTTTCCACAACAAACACAATCTTAAAAATCCTAAATTTCTAAATTTTACTTTTTAATGAAAATCTAAGAAGCAACTGTTACTGATTTTTCAAGTTTTTGCTTAGTCTGCAAAATAATAAAAACCAATGGAAGTTTCATTATTTAATATAACTATTCACTATGATACCTACTCATACTTGAACTATGGCATTTAAAACCATAAAAATGACCTCTATTCTAATTTTTCTCAGATCAGAATCAGAAAAGGGAAATTCTTTTATAACTTCTAAAATATTTTAAGCCCTGTGAGTACTACAGTTACTGTATTTTCAGCTTCAGAAAATATGTACATATATATATAAGATTATGTATGTATTTTACTCTCTGAGGAAACTGAAAGAGATTTAGCAACCTGTCTGATTTCACATGGGGAACCAGTGGGAAAAAACTGTATGAGAATTTAATTAGGTACTGTAGTTCTTATACCAGAATTTAGTTTCCACTAAAATACTCTGCAGAAGATGCCTTCAAATTCAACACCCTAAACCAAAACAGCTTTACCTGTGCACGAAGACTTAAAAGACATATTTTCCCAGAGTTGATCACTTGCCGTACAGAATCTACGCTGGTTCCATACAAATTTTTCTCAAATTCACCATGTTCAATGAACTTTCCGGCTGCTATGTCTGCCTCGAATGCTTGCCGTGAGACAAAGTGGTAATCTCTACCAGCTACTTCGTGGTCTCGCCTATTCCGAGTTGTATCTAGGCAATCAAAATTAGATAAAAAGAATGGGTATAATTCTGCTAGTCAGAAAAAATTTTATTTTATAACACAGATAATAAAATAATGAATTGGGGAAATTTAAGAGCCCACGTGTTTAACATTGACTGGTTTTATTTCTAGATAGACTGAGAAATGAACAAAAATGTTTTTAGTATTTAATAATAGTTGCATTTAATTATCTTAAGACATTTTATGTTTACACTTTAAATTGCTTCATCTCACATTTAAAACACTACCACTCATCTTTTCTTGAAGTTTATTTCCATTAGATTAGGTACTCTATAATTTTTAAACAGGACTTCTGTGTTCAGAGATTATGTCTAAATTTCTATTTTCTGTGTTGGTTTAAAAAACCATAAGCTGATCCAAATTGACCAGGAAATTGTAAAACCCCAAAGGAAATTCCTATAGAAAGTAATTAGTACCATATTCTTAGGAGAAACTGAAATTTCTCAAGAATGACTATCTTTAGTAACAAATTCTCAAAAAAGGTGGTTAAAACAAAGTTCCTCTTTCCTGACAACATTGTTTTTATGAAACAAATAAAAAATTTCCCCAGACAGTTAGGTTGTAAGGTGATTAATTGAAAAGCACAGGAAAATGAAAAGCACATTCAAACATACGAGGAACTGCAGATGCAAAGCGGTCTTTTTCTTTGTTCATGAGCCTCTGACGCAATTCATTCTGGCCACAGTTCTGTGGACCAATCAAAATGATAGGTCTTTTCCTATTTGCTGGCTGATGATAAAGTGACATTTCCTCATAAGTTAAGATTTCTTCATTGTCATAGTCTTTAGAAAAAAAGAAAAAGTTAAGTCCCTCAGACAAAATTATTGCTATGCAATAAACACATACTTGTAGATCACCTAAAAAATTTGAAAAGCACAATTTATTATTAAAAATGCTTAACTTTCTGGATCAACATGGTATTGAGTGTCTTCCTATGTCATATCCTTGCCAGGACATTATGAAGATAAATCAGGCAATATATTAATCCTTCTAAAAAAGTGTATTGCTTCTCTTGTTTCACACTGTTTAAATGTTTGATATAATGTAACTACACTGATTCTCATATAAAATAGCTAGTTTGCAGCCAATATTTTGACAGAGGGTTATGCACCAGAGGATAAACTAACGAGAATATCTATCATTTTTGTAAAATGGGGATACTAAAACTTAAAGAGGACTGGTTTAAGGATCAGACGAATGTACATGCTGAGCACAATATACCTGATATAGACAAACATTCACAAATGCTATAACTAGTATTATCAGAGAAAGCTGGAATACTTTTCAGTGATCACATAGCTTGATGACAGGTCATATCTGTGCTATTCACACTTCTTGCATTTATGTTTACTTTATTCTGGAATACTAATACGAATACTAACCTGAGGTCATGATTCAAGAAGTATAAGTTATGCTAGGTGGGTAACATTCCTAAAGCCCTTGATCCAGATGAAATCAGAGCTGTCAAGTGGTAAATAAACAAAGGCAGAGAACTAGCAGCCCTGCCATCTTCTCACTCATACTACTTCATCTGATTGGGAAAGAGCATCAGATGTGTAGTCAGACTCTCTCAGCTTTAAGTTCCATGGGAGCAGGGAACCATCTTAGGCTTGCCAGTGCTTAGCACAGAGTAGATTAGAAACTCAAACTGTATCTGTTTAAATTTCAGCTCAACCACATATTAGCTTTAAGAACTTAAGCAGGTCACTCTAATATCTGAACCAGAATTTATTAATCTGTGGTTGCAAGAAATTTATTGTGAGAACTAAATGGATGTAGGTATCTAAGGCATATAGTTACTGCCCCTAAAATAGAAGTTACTGAGTTATTATTAATAAAAATATTATTTATGATGACACCATTATGAACAGAAATGTAATTCCTTCCCTTCCCCGAATGTTTTCCCTCTGAAAAATCTGAGTTCCTTCTTCTAACATGTACAAACTGTGGCAGCATTATGATTTACAGACTTAGTTTATATATATGTAAACTTCAGATTTTCAAGTTTTCTCTAGTATAATTGCTATCAGAGCTGAATCAGCTAATTTTAGTGTGTTTCAAAAGATGAAGAAAAAGAGATATTGATTACTTACCCGAGTATAGAGGAAAGCATTAAAAATTCAATAAATCTTCTTAGTTATATAGTATATCAATTACCATTAAGGATGTTTACTTTGGAAAAAAATTTTTATTAACGGAGATGGAATCTCAGATTTAATTTTACATAACGTTGTATTTTCATCAGTTTAATTTATGCTGCTTAAAAAAATTCAAGGTGTTAAGAGAATAAGCCTTATAATAAGAGATTAAGGATTGCCTTTATTATTTGGTTTGTTTCTAACATGAACAAAAGCAGGAGTAGCAAATTCTAATGCCTATAAGGACCAACCAAGAAGGCACTAAAAGCAATAAATCAGGTTGGGTTTATAAAAAATTAGATGTGGTGGAGACTGTGGAACTAAGAAAGTAGGTGCCCGAAATAAAGGCAACAGCCATCACTCAGGTCCAGCAGACTGTTGCCACTTGGGATATGAGCCAAGTGTTATTAGAACTTATGATTTTAAGAGAAGCTACAACTTAAAAAATTGAATCTTAGCAATAAATTAAAACAAAACAAAAAACTCTTCTTGTACCTGAATCAACCAGCAGCTAGTAGGCTATGCGGAATGGGCTGCCTCAGTGACAGGAGTTATTGTAGACAAATTATTCATTATTTACTTAAAATACAGCTACATTGTTAGAACTTATTAGAAGTATGTATTAATTTCACAAATAGTTTATACAGAAAAGAACTAGAGAAATTTCTATTCAATTTCCTCAAAATTTGAGGAATATTAACACTATATATACTTTTAATTTTTATATTAATTTTTCTCAGAATTCAAAGCACTGCATTACTCATAGGATTCCAAAAGAAAATAATTTCTGCTACATGATTTTCTTAAGAACATTTGTCACATTAAGAGGCAAAACCAGAACCAAAACTCCCTGAAAATATCAGTTTAATTTCTTTCAAGTGTTAGATAGTGGACCTGTTTTAGTTATAAATCCAGCTATCTCTGAGAGTAGAACTTACCATCATTTTTATTGGCATTATATAAAACCTTTTTTCTCTTCTTCTTATTCTTCTTCGCACACCACAGTTTTCCTGTTGAATAATCATAAACATAACTATAAATTTGGTATTTGTTTCCTTGAACAAAGCTATGTTTTTCAACTGAAGAACTCAAATAGCTTTTAATTTAAATTTATAAACATTTATTATATTGTTCATAGAAAATTTTTTTTCAGGGAAGTATTTATAATTTTCCATTAATCTTGCATTATAGACAATCTTTAATACCTAAATCTTGTCCTTTCTTTACAGCTCTAAGATAATATTTTGCCTCCCAGATCACCCTTGCCATGAATACATCTTTTTTTGACAGTTCTAATACATAAACATAAATATAAACATGGAGAACTAAGAAACCTCTCATTAATGTCAAATAAAAGTGTCCAACCTGATTTTTCTGGCTCCTTATCTTCTTCTATGGTTTGTTTCATGGCTTCCCTTTGCTGCTGAAAGCTTTTCCCTTAACAGCAGAAAAGAAAAAGAGTAAAATATTTAAGACAAAAGAAAAGCAGTATTTGTTTTTAAATCAAGGGAAAACACCCAAAGTAACTCTTCATTCATATTTTGTTCTAATTCTTTCTGCCACCTATGAGTGTGTCAGCTATGAGTATAAGCCTCCAAATGTTTAAAGTATTAAGTTTCAATCTCATTCTCAACCAATCCTAGGACATTACTAGAATATACCACCTGTTAGGAAAGATTAATAAACCGGTGTTAGAAAATTTAATAGTTCAATTTTTACAAATCTTTTATTGAACATTTACAATGTGGAAAGTACTATGCTGGATCTTACAATAGTTCTGCTCATTTAGAATTATCTGAAATCAAGCAAATTCATTCCAGGAGTTAAGTTTCCAAAATAATACATGAACATGCATCGTTTTTGATTCCAAGACACCACTCAACATATTCCCTTGCATTTATTATTCCCAACCCCTCCATGTATGTACATGTTTTAATGATTTTTTATTTCCACTTTTAAGCTACCAATGATACAAATATATGAAAAACATTATGTTTTTCCTCTCAGGATTAAGCTTTCAATGTCTGTGAACCTCATCTTCTTTTCAGACATCTACTTAAAATCAAATGTATTTTTTCTGAAGGATACAGTGGTTTTACTCAGAAAATTCTGGATTAGAGTTCTACTTTATATTTAAGTCTTATATCTAATTCTTTCCATTTCAAGCCAGGAATTCTTAAAAATCAATAAGTAATTTCCATCTATACTGGGATAATCTGTAGAACATACTGTATTTCATAAGAGCTTACAAGTAAAAACATTAATATTGAGTTTGACACACATAGGAAGCATTAAAGGAAACTACCAGGTTATCTCTAGAAGCTATACAGATTGCATTCCTAATGAAACAACTATGACTAGAGGGAAAATTTTAAGAGCATTAAAATTAAAAAATAAGTATTTGTCTTTAACGGATTTTTAAAAAATCACAAAATAATTTTAATCATTTACATATTAAAATGTTTAAAAACATTACAGTGTTACACTTCTATGGCACATTTTTATATGTAGACTGTTCCTGAAACAGAAGTGGACATTAATACAAGATAGACATTATGACCTCTTAAAAATCCTTTGAACAGAAAACCATTAACACAAACTAAGGTGGGTCCATTTATTTGTCCTATAAAAAGACTTGCAAATAGTATCTTTCAAATCTCCTTGACTCATCTATATACTTTCAGAAACTCAACATAATAAGTCAATAAACACCAGTTCTAAATATGGGCTAAGGCTGGCATGGTAAGAAGATATCAAATTGATTTTTGGCAGAAGCACTGAGTAGAGAACCATGATGGCTGCTTATAATACCCTAGGATTCTAGAGGAATGTCCTGTAACTGTTACTGTGAAGAACCAAGGGTGTAGCATCACTCTCTAAACTTACTATAAGCAGCTCATTTCTCCTTCCTTGAAATATGACTAAGTATAAACAATATTTGTTTCTAGCTTTTGGGTTTAAAAGCAGATACTTGTGGCTGTGACCTTATTATACACATAAATAAAAAACAAATATTATATTATCATATCATAATTTCACTCTAAAGCCCAACAAATTGGTCACTATTATATTCAAGATACTTAGGCTACAGATATAACATAAAAACCCAATTGCATGAAAAAGTAATTACATCATCTTTTTAAAAAGGCATGAAAAAGTGAGTTTTTCTCTGTGAAGGCTTATGTTATAAATATTCTTTTAACTATGTACTTTCTGCTATCTTGTCCTTACCTGGAACAAGCCCAGCCAGAGGCTGATTATCTTCGTCCCCTTCCCTATAGGCTTGCCACCAATTTGGATCTTCTTGACTGATCACATGAAGTATATCTCCCTTTTGAAAAGACAGACCTAACTCACGACATGGAACGTAAGGGTCATCTGAGGGGTCATAGTCGAAATGAGCTTTTACGTGGATCTAAAAGATAAAAAGGGTAAAATAAAAACAACAATAATAATGAAATGGCAACACAAAATACTTAGCATAAATATAATTAAAATGTTATAATTTTTCATTAGTACAAAGAAAGAGGTTTAGTTAGGTAAACAGTATTTGGGGAACTGTATTTTCTCAGGCTTATGTTTTCTCTAATTAAGTTCATCTCTGTTGATTGCAAACATGTACAAGAGTATGCAAAACACTGTACTCGTTAGCTGCTAACAAACTGAAGTGCTAAGGTGCCTCAAAGGCTTAAGAGAAGCAGAAAGAATGTAATAAAATCCCCCACCTCCTCTCTCAATTCCTGATCTGTGTAAATAATAATTCTGCAACAAGGTATGCTATTTCTAAACTATGACTACCACCAAAGGCAGACTTTAACCTGGCATCTGTCATCTAAGCAGGTGAGTGTCAGTTTCCCTGTGCCTCTATCCCTTCTTGACCACACTGTCAGAGTGAATGTGCCTTAATCTCTTTCAGTGTTTCTTCTAAAGGAATGTGTTTAGGTTCATAAACAATCACACCTCAGTTTAGGTTTATAAACAACCACACCCCAAACTGCTAAAATTTTCTAGATCAAGGTTAAAATCTATACACAGGCTTTGAAATACTACTAGTGGTACAAGTTAAAATTTTTTACTAACAATGTTTGCATATCAGAAAACTGTTATGCTTTTAGCATTAAAGGTCAGAATTCACATAAACCTTATTGAAAGCCAAGTCATTTCCTATGCGATTTCCTCCAATATACCTCTCTAAGATATAACAAAGTATTCTTCCTTCTAAGGAGGAATGAAGGAAGAAATATTCTCTTTAATGTCTCCATTTGTAATTTTTACCCAACTTGGGCAAATGGCATTTCCAAAATCTGTAAAAAGTCAACTTTCATCTAACGAATCCAAATCTCCATGCAATGAATGTTTCTGCCCCATGTAGGTTAAATTTTAGGTTTCGGCTCAATGAGCAATTGATTGACAGCATTAATAATTTTATAATTCTAAGCCCTTTTCTATTCAAGTATTATTTGGCTTTCCTTAAGTCTTTTACCTTCACCATAATTGAGGCCATCTATTATAAACCAGTCTGCCTCAAAAATTGTTTTATAAGACAGTACCTTTTTTCAGCTCCTGAAACACTTAAAAAATAGTCTAATCAATGATGGACTATATGATATTTGATAAAATACTTTCTAAGTGATAAAGATATACACATAATAGAGGGAGATATATAGATCTCTCTCCATTATAAGGCATAATAACCAAGAATTTTCATGAAAGCAACAGCTTTTTTCAGAAATTTTGCATGAGGATGTTATTAGATGAAAAATATTCTTTTAATTTCAGAAAAATACAGTAATTTCAGTAATACAGAAGTTTACTAACTTCTGTAAATAGGAAATGAGGATATCTAAATCCCAATATACAAACGGCAACATTGAGGTAAAGTGATCGATCCATTTAAAAATGTAGAACTTAAATGCTAGTCTGCTTTTTTGAGGTAGCTTTTCATTGATATATTATATAAGTTCAAATAGTACAAAAAACCTAAGTGTAAACCTCAATGAATTTTCACAAATGAAAGACACTTGTGTAGCCAGAACCCAAATCTAGAACCAGAATATCACTAGTGCCTCAGAAGCTCCACCCTCATGTCTCTTTCAGTCGCAACCTTCCTACTCCCTCCAAGGGTAAACAGCATCCTGATTTTTAGAAGCATAGATTAGTTTCCCCTGTACTTTGCTTCATTTAAATGGAATCACATCGTACATACTTTTGGATTAAATATAGTTAAGATACCCCATTCAGTTTGACAGTGTTCCACTGCATTCCAACTACAGTGTCTGAAAGAGCCTTGTTTTTAATATGAAAAGTTTTTATTAAAATCTTGAAAACTTTGTTAAAGCCAAAAATGAATTTTAGAAAGTTATGCAAGGTAGTAGCAATCAAAACAGTTGAGATACTGGGTACAAATATCATACATACAATTTTATAATCTTCGCATGAGATGTCTCAAATGTATAGAATGATCAAAAAAACCTCTCAAGCATCATCTCTGTCAAATCCTTCCTAAACTGTTGCCTTTTTTTTTTTTTTATAATACTTGTAAGCTATTTGCATTTGAGTCCTAATGATGGGAATATGGTAACGGGATAATGATTCATCAGTTTATTTACATCTTTCCTAAGGGATTCGATGGTCCAAAATGATTTTTCTTTGTAATTTTTATTTTGTATTTCTTATTATAGATTTATCTTTAACTTTTAAAATTACTCATGGAAGAGAAAATAGTCAAAGTATATCTTCCTTTATCTTTGGTCTAAACTTTACCCCTAAGGCAGATTGTAAGATTAAGGGCAGCATCAAGAAAAGCCTTTATAGAGTTAGGTAACGGTTATCAAATTCCTCCCCCTAACCTTGAGATTCTTCTTCCCCTGACACCCACCTAAGAAAGAATATCTTTATTATTTGTTCTCTTCCATTTTTACGAGAACTTTGGGTATCTGGGACATGTGATTGATGTTTAATAGTAGGCAGCCGGAAATACAAACTATAGGGTAACAGCAAACTTACTAGAACTGCCCTAACTTGAAAAGGGATGTCCACAAAAATCTCATTGCATCACAAAATCCCAGAAAAAATTAAGATAAAAATTATATAATATAGTTTATACTTCTAACAAAAAAAGTAAATACATCTGACAACAGTGGTTCTCAACTTTTCCTTCTAACCCAGTTATCTTTATAGGCTATGAACATCTGAAACAATCATTTTTAAAAAATCCATAGAATTCCTTTCACAAACGCAAAATACATATAAACTGCACCCCTGACCTGCTCTCCCATAAGAAATATAACTATAGCCCAGATCTCTTCTTAGAATTCCAGACTAATATATTCAATTCTGTGTACTAAGTATCTCCACCCAAATGCCCCTCAGGTACCTCAAACCTATAAAATGGACCTCTTTTTTTTCTCCCCAAATCTGTTCTCCCTCTAGATTTCCCTTTAGTAAGTAGCACCACCATCACCCAGTTGTTCAAGTATCCTTGCTTCCTCCCTTTCTTTTACCTTCCGCATTCATGACAAGGCACTGTCATTTTACTTCCAGAATACAGCCTGATTTATGTTCTCCACTGCTATCATCCAAGTTTAAGTCATCATATTTTGTAATGACTTCAGCAACAGTTTCCTCCTTGCTTCCATTATTGGTTATACTGATCGAATTTCCACACAGCAGCCAGAAGAGTTTTTTTAAATACCAATTAGATGATGTTACTGTATTTGAAATCCAAATTCCCTGCCATGGCCAAAGAGATCTACTTGACTTGGACCTACCTACCTCTTCAGGCTCATCTCGTAGAATTCCCTCCCCATCTTTTCTACTGCCCTACCTTGCTCCATGCCCACAGGCTTTCCAAACACAAAGTTCTTTAGAAATTATACATGCAAGTTAATTAGCAGGCCTCGTTTCCCCTCATCCTACAGGTCTCAGCTACATGTTGCCTTCCCTAGAGGTCTTTCCTGACCATCTTGTATAATTACCCCACCTCTTTTTATTCTCAATGTTCACATTCTGCTTATTTCTATCTATTACTTAACCACAAGCTATATTTTATGTTATGTTCATGATCATAAACCCAGTGCTTATTAGCACAGTGCCTAGTACACAAAAGGGATCCAATAGATATTCTTTGTAAGGAAAAAAGTTATTTGGGACCCCTAAGAGTATATTTCAATTATTAACACCACTGGGCCAGTGGCCGGCTAATCCTATGGTTTGTATCCCTGAGCTGTGATTTAGCATCGTTATATCCTAAGCCTTTACGTTCCCCTTAAAACACTTCTATCCTCCCAACCCAGACGCCACAAGAGACTACAGTCGTGCTCCTAGTCTTATTAGAGCTAGCAGTCTTCTACAGGCAAGAGACCCCAAAGCAGTTTCAAATACTAAAGTCTCATGATATGCTTTTGTTGTACTCAGAATCCAGACTATCACATACATAGCTACTAAGAGGTTAATTCATCTATAGTTAGAATTTTATATCATGGTATTCTAATTATTTTCTTTGGATTGATGATAAGCATTAATGCAGAAACCTAATATTTAGTGGAATGTGGGACATTCATTACCTGTTATATTACACAGAGTTAAGAACACAGGTTCTGGAATAAGCATGGGTTTTAGTCTGACTCAGTCACTTCTCATTAGTGGGCTTTGGTAATTAACTTGACCTTTCTAAGTTCCAGTTTCAATGCCTATTAAATGGAAATAATAAAGGTACCTATAGTTCACAGAGATACTGTGAGGATTAAATGAGATAAAACACATAGAGCGACTAGTACCGCACCTGGCACAGAGTAAGTAATCATAATAGCTAACATTTATCGAACAATCAGTAATTGGAATTTTCTAGTACATATTCCATCCCTAATAAGTAGTGTGATCCTGCTACATTTCAATTTATACCTCTGTCAGATTAGGGTATTGGACTAAATGAAGAAAAGTGCCTTCAGCTCAAATATTCTATTTTCTCCCTCCATATTCTTTCAATTATACTGTGGAATAATCTAAAGTCTTACGCACTTGTCTGGGAACTCCACTTTTATTTATTTATTTTTTTAAGTCAATGTGGAGAAAAGGAAATGGCACAGTTTAAACAATGCATATGTTTCCTCAGATAAATGTGTCAGTCACTTTGGAAGTGAACTACAAAGGTGCCAAGACTCTTGCCCTCCACAAATGATAGAGCAGTCACTGGTTGCTATATGTCATGCAAAAGAAACTTAACAAATAAGGGAGTACTTCTCTTGACACAGTATATTCTTGCCATTTATGATGTTATAATTCAGCAAGTGATTATAACTGGATTTCAGATAACACCTATTTGATTTATTTACCTTAAATACATATTTCTTTTCTAACATTACAAAACATCAGAAAGATACTTTTTGTTGCTCTTACTAGATCCTGACCTGTACCATAATGATGCTCAATAAATTGGTTTTAATTTCTTAAAATCACTAATCCCATAGATAATTATTCTGCATATGCCAACTAAAATTATGACTTCTTATCACTGTTTTCTTTGTGGAAACCTTCAGTGTGAACTTTAATAACAGTAGTTCATTTTAAGCCAGATAGGTTTGATAAAAACTTTGCAAGAGATATTGCAATTGAGAGTTCTTCATAACAGAAGGAGGAAATGAAGGAAAAGAAAAATACTGCACAACACTGTCTCTATTTTGAATAGATCTCTACTCATCAAATGCTGTATTTTAAAAGGATTAAACCTGGAATCTTTACTTTTCCTTCCTCTCTCTCCTTTTCTTTTAAAAGCCATATAAGTAAGGGCATATTCCAGCCCTCTTCTGCTGTGTCTCTTCAGAGTGCAGAGCTACTTTTGAAGTTCAGGGCTTGTTCCCAGGAGATATGTGGAAAAGCACAGTGCACAGAGAATCAGGCTGTCAGAATTCAGAGACGAACTATTTTCCCATTTCTCCTCCTACTAAGAGCTTTATACAGAAAGAAGATTGCAGATGCAACATCAATTTCAATATCCATAAAGAATAAAGGAAAAACATGGAATGATGGCTAAAATATAAAGTATAAATGTAATTAAGGAAAAAATGAAATTGTGCTCCTTCAAACTGTTATGCTTTTATAAAAGTGAATAATAACAGATGTAATACATCAGGCTTTCATGTTAATCCAGCACTTTGAAGTCTGTAATTTTTTAACAGCTTTCTTGAGATATAAAATTCGAATACTATACAAGTCACCTGTACACACAATTGGATGGTTTTTAGTAAATTCAGAGGTGTGCAACCACACACAATTTTAGAACACTTTATCAACCCAAAAAGAAACTCCATACTGATTAGAAGTCCCTCCTATTCCCTGTTAACTCCCCACCCCCATACCTAAAGAACTACAAATCTACTTTCTATCTCTGGATTTACCTATTCTGGACATTTCATATAAATAAACCAACACATGGCCTTTTGTGACTAGCTTCTTTCACTCAGCATAATTTTACCAAGGTTCATCCATGTTAAAATATATTAATCAGTACTTTATTCCTTTTTTATTGCCAAATACTATCCTATTCTATGAATATACCATAATTCATTTTCCATTCATTAGCTGGCAGACATTTTGGTTGTTTCTACTTTCTGGCTATTATAATATGCTGCTATGAACAGTCATGTACAAGTTTTTATGAGGATATATGTTTTCAATTCTCTTGGATATACACTTAGGAGTGAAATTGCTGGGTCATAGGGTAAAAAAGTTTGTCTTTTGATATCACTAGCTGAGTAAATGTTTAACATAAATAGCAATATACACTCTAATACAAGAGCTGTGCATACTTTGTATAAGCACTTTCCCCCCATACTAAGTATATTTAAGTTAAATAAATCCACCTATAATGACAAAAAAAGACAAAGTTCAATGTTAGGAGTCATAAAAATTCTTAAAGTATTTTCTACTTTTTACTTTTCAGAGTTTACTCAATTTGAAATACTGACATTCAAATTTATTTTAAAAAACTACTGAATTTCCTTGTTTTTACATTTCTGATATTCAAACAAACATTCACGTGCAAGTTCTTGTGTGGACATAAGTGTTCTGAGTGTGTTTACATATGTATTTTTAACAATACATACTTATAAAAAATAGAAAGAAAGTAAAAATCATCTAGATGCTCTCACTTGGAAATAACTTGTCAATACTCAGTGCTAGCCTTCTTTCTAAGCATATTCTGTCATCTTAACCAGAAGTCTCTGGATTTAAATTTTTAATTCCTTAATATTTACCCAAATGAACTGAAACATGTCCACACAAAAACCTGCATAGCAATGTTATTTACAACTACTCAAACTTGGAAGCAATCAAGATGTCCTTCAGTAAGTGAGTGGATAAGCTGTTATTCAGACAATGAAATATTCAACGCTATAAAGAAATGAGCTATATCAAGCTATGAAATGACATGGAAGAAACTTAAATGCTTTCACTAATGAAAAAAGCCAATCTGAAATGGTTATCTACTGTAAGATTCTAACTATATGACATTCTGGTAAAGGCAAAACTACAGAGATCAGTAGTTGCCAGGGGTTGGGGGAGGAAGTGATGAGTAGATAGAACGTAGATGATTTTTAGGGCAGTAAAACTATTCTGTACAATACAATGGTGAATATATGTAATTATTCATTTGTCAAAACTCATAGGATATTCAACACCAAAAAAGAATCCTATTGTAAAACTATGAACTTTGGGTAATAATGGAACCATCGATTCATTCATGTAACAAATGTACCATTCTGGTGCAGGATGTTGATAGTGGGGGATATTATGCATGTGTGTGGGCAATGAGGCATGTTAAACTCTAGACTTTCTGCTCCATTTTGCTATGAACCTAAAACTACTCTAAAAATAAAATTTATTTAAAAAAGTAAACAGTAACCATCAGACAATAAATAATGAACAACAACGACAAAATACTTACTACAGTTTCCTTGGTAGGAGGTGGCTTGATCTGTTGACTAGGAATCAGAACAAATGTCAAAGTACCATGCATATCAGACTGTAACAGAGAGATTAGATAGTTTTTAAAATCCATATTTATGAAAATCATTCCATGATTTTATGAGCAATATTCCCTAAAGTGAACTATTCCGGAACTCTTAGGAGACTTAAAAAAAATCAGTAAAGGTGAATCCCATTTCATTAGGAAGCACAAATTATGCCTTTTATGGATTCCATTAGAGTTACCCAGTAATATTGCATTCTGCAATTCTAGTCCACTGGGGAAAGCCATTTAACCCATAAATCTTGGGTTTTTCTCATCTACTCAGTGTTAAGTTAAGGAAGATTCCACAGTGAAGGGTTGGGTGATAACAATGCTATTACAATTCTTAGTTATCTACTCTGACACATTTCAATTTTAATACAGTAAAATTTGAAATAGTAATTGTGACTAGGATTAGAAAAGTGATACAAATATACAAACATTCTCGCTTCCCATTCTATTTTTTAACTGTATACAGTCTTACTGCTAGGTTCACTATTATTTCCCAGTACATCACTAACTGTATCATTCAGATACTTCCAGCATAGATGGTAATCACACTTCTGGCCCTGAGAGAGCAGGGAGCATTGCTTGACCTAGAGATAGCATGCAATAAACCAAAGGCAAAAAACGACCATTGGCACTTTGCTCTACCAAAGCAATGAATGCGGTTGGGAGAAAATAAGGATATAAAGATGCTTTCTAGATTCTTCACAGGCATCAGCCGATAGGAGAGATTCCATCTAACAACTGATGTGAAATCAGTAAGAATATAAATCTGGTTTGTGGATGCATACAAAGTGATCATAAATTGCTCTCAAAAGTTGTCTACAAATGGCTTTCTCATTATACTAGCACTAACAGAACTTTATATGCTGATGGAAATGTTACATATCTACTCTTTAATATAGGAGCCATTAGCTACCTACTGCTGCTCTTGACCACCTGAAAAACAGCTAGCAGAAATGAGAAACTGAATTTATAATTTTACTTAAGTTGAAATAACTAGTACGTGTAGCTAGTGGCTATTATATTTGACAGTATAGATCTACTGAGTACCTGTTATTATCTAAATTGTTAAGAAAACAATGTAGAACAAAAAAAATGAACATAAAAATTATGAGGGTAGTGATTTTGTTTTGTTACTGTTTGCCTAGCAGGTAGCATATAGCAGGCAGTCAATAAATAAGTGTTGAATAAATCACGAGTTATAGTAGTGATTTCAGAGGCAAATAAAATATACCTAGCAGTAATAAAGCTCAAAAAGAAATACCAGTGGTACCCACCCCAAAATAAAACTCTAATAAAAATTGTGAAAACGTTATGTGAAAATTAGATTTGAAATTGTCTAGTACTCTTAACGATTATTTTTAAAATGCTTTAAAAATATTTTTTTCTGGAGTCTAATAACAAAAAAAAAACAGCTTTCAAGAACCTACTAATTCTTCTACCTGTGACAGCTTACCAACAAGTCAAAAACCTCATTGACATCTTTCCCCCGAATTTCAATGCCATTAATCTCCAGAACTTCATCTCCTTCATGTAACAGACCACTTTTCTCTGCAGCACCTCCTTTTACTATCCGACTAATGATGACAGAATCCATTTCATTACGAACTGTAGCACCCTAAAAATAATTAAACATCAATTTTAAAGTAAAAATGCAATTTTTCGGTTCAACATTTCCTCATTTTTAAATTCTTATTTTTTTCTCTTCAACAATACTAGCCTTCAGTTATCTTGTGAAAAAATTTACTTATCCATCTACAGTAATCATGATAATTAGATTTGAAAGCTGACCATTTTCTCCACATTTTCTGCTTCAGAAACATCCCCTTCATTAGAATTCTAAAATCAAGCAGACTTTTGAAGCACACGAGAACCAAAAAATGCACTTGCTTAAAAACAATGTTAAACCTATAATCAAATTTGTTCTCTAAAAGCTAGATACTAGTCAAAATAGTTATACTATATTTAGATGTAATTAGTGAACATGACATAACTATAAATGTCTTTTAAAATTCAATACATGATGAAGGAATGAAGACTAATCTAATTGATTATTCAAATGTTAAATATTACATAGCTGCATTTAGTTCAAATTAAAATGTATTAAACATTAATATTTATTATAAAAATTGGAAGCACAACTGAAATATATATTTGAAAAAATGGAAATATAAGATACAGAAAAAAGCTTAAAAGTAGACAGGGTTTGTAACATTTTTCTCCTAAACTTTTGTCATAACTTTCCCGATTTCTTTTTTCCTAGTAGCCATCAGAAAAAAATGAGTAATATAAACTGCCCATAAAATTTGGTCCCTATTTCATGTACCACAGTATTCAAGATATAATTTGAGACATAAGGATTTAAGAATATGCCCTGAAAATAAAGGGGAAAAAATAAGGCAATAATAGCAGACTAAGAGAAAGTTTTTACTAAAAAGTATAAAACAAATATTAATGTTAAGGAATACATATTTTTAAGTATATGTGAAGTATGCAAATGTGTTTCAAGAGATCAGATTTTCTAACTATGCTTTTTTTTAAAAAAGCTGGAAGAATAATGAAGCAGATTACTTGTCTTTGTTCTCAACAGTTACTTCACAAACTACTATATTTTCATCAAATTATGATGAAACGAACAAATTTTTCTCAGCTGAATAAGGAGTATGAAGAATAACATAAAAGAATTCCAGTAAATAACTACAAAAAAGAAAAACTAGCAGAAACGTAAAGGGGTCTTCAACTATCTGCCTGCCATACAAAAGATCCTTGTGTAGAAAGGATCTCAGATCAGAGATGTGGAACACTTACCAATGGAATATCTCGAGCCTTTTCTATACGAACTATTTTCACAGTTTCTCCTCCATACTGGCCAATGCTTTCATAAACTCTCTCATCTGTAATGGGCTCGAGCTGCATTTCCTGCTCAGCGACCTTATCATGGGCCAGTAAAAGTGCCTATTTCAAAGAAATCCATAGCATTTAAGGCAACGGTATGACTTATTTCTGTAGATTTTAACTTAATCACACACAGTAATCTGATCATTAAACTTTTAAAAGAAATGATATAATTAATTATATATTCAGATGTTTTCAAATTTTCCAGCTGTAGCCCAGATGCAACTCTATATTTTTTATAGCTAATAATATCTAAGAATGTATTAGGTATAACAGGGTATACCCTGGGATGGGTTATGAAAGTCTAAAATGCTTATTACTTCATGAAAACAAAATCAATTTAAAAGTCCAACACCATAGATAAATTTACAAAAGATATAACCAAAAAAAGAGGATTTTTGGTAAAAAATAAGTTGTTTCAAAAATAATGCAGTTAATTTTAAATATGAAAATATATAATCCAACAATAATTATTTTGCAGTAGGAGTTGTAAACAATCAAAACAGTTTAGATAATGTTGGAGTTCTCTTCTAGCCCTAAGAAACTTTGATTCAGAGACTCTGAATATTGGAAAAACCACAAATATAATGCTCTGTCCATTTTCTACCTGAATATGTGGAGCATTCAGCAAAGCAGTTAATTCTTGTCCTTCTTTTTGGTGGATTGGCTTCAAAACAGTTTGTACCTAAGAAACAAAAAGAGATTATTCTTCTCAGGTTGCAGGAAATATCACCAGCATCTATATAGGTATTTCTAATATATTTTAAAATCATAAAAACCACTTATAATGCACTAAAAAGAATAAGGGAAAAAAAGTTATTTTTCTCATAGTTTTCAATCTTGTTATCATGGTTAACAATAGTATTCTATTTAAAACCACTAGATAAGATTTTGGTATTCATACATATGAATGAATTATTTCCTTCTTCAAACTTTCTCCCAACATGCTATAAAATATACCACATAAGGGAAGAAAAACTGTTCTAACAGTTATTTTGCTATTTTATAGTTTTTTAATCATGTTTATGCAACTATATTTTAAATCAGAGATAACACTTTCAAGAGTTACAGACTAACAAGATAAAGTTATATGACGAATAATGGAACCACCACTATACTATAGTGAATTACATTAAAAAACTTCCCAAAGTTGAGTAATTCTTGCATTTCTAGGATAAACTCCACTTGACTATGATGGATTTCTTTAAAGCCTTCCTTTCCTTATCTATAGAATGGCATCTACCACTTAAGGTTCTTAAATGATTCAGGTAATCCATATAAACTGCTTAGCACAGTACCGAGCACATAACAAATTATTACTTAATATATTTCTAGATGTGAGTTATTCATATTTTAAGATTTCTATATTAGTGTTCATAAGTTGTACTGGCCTCTACTTGGTGAGTGGGTTCATGTGCAGTTTTACAAAAGTACTGTCAAGTTTTACTATCTAGGTCATACGATCCTAATACAATGAGTTGGGAAATAGTCTAGATTTATGTGTTAATACAGTTTATTTAACATAAGAATTGTATGTTCCTGAATGTTTTGACAGAACCTGTACAAAATTTATATTTTCTTAGAAAACCACCCACTTGATAGCAACTTCACAGTTAGTAACATAAAGCTGTAATTGTTTTATGTTATAATTTTTAATCTCCTGCATTCGTGTTCTTTTCTTTCCTAATGTTTTTGGTATTTTTTTTTCCATCTAACTTGTCAAAGTTTTCTCTACTTTACTATACTTTCCAAAGAATTAGTTTCTAATGTTAAATCTATTGTTCTTTCCATTTAAATAATTTAATTCCTTTCTTCTGCTTTATTTCCCCTTTCAATTTCTAATCATTTGAGCTGCATGTTCAGTTCATTTATTTTCAATCTTTTTTTTACCATAAATATTTAAAGGTACAAATTTTGCTCTGTAGACTACTTTGCCCCAAAGATTATACTATGTATGTTCTTACTGTCAATACCTCTGATTTTCTTCCCTTTTTTATTTCCAAACTCAATTACCCAAAAGAGTACTTTGCAATAATGCAGATAACAAAACCCACCATTAATGAAAACATATAGAAATTCACATACAGAAATTTTTTACAAAAGTAACTCATGATTAAAATAAGAATCCAGTAATTCTCTAATACTTCTTATGGCTATTTTAAATCATTTTATTAGTAATTCCCCGAACAAACCTGAGAGATAATTTTGGGATTAACTAATTTTACCACATGTGGATCAAAGTAATAACAGTAACAAAACCAGCCTGTCTTCTGGTTTTGGTACCCAGGAAAACAGGTTTCTAATTGTAAAGCTCCATATGTATAAACAGGATGGCATAGCAATTATCTTCTTCAAGAATTCCATTAAAATCTTACTAATAAACAACTGCAGTAATCCAAAACTGTAATTAAATACTTATTTTTTAAAATAGGGCATTTTTCTTTTTAAAATATAGCAAATCTAAGGTAATTTAAAATAGAATTTATAATCTCTGGTCATATACCTTTTGATAGCTGGAGAAAGTAATTCTGAGGGAAAAAGAAAATTTTCAATTAGAAATGTACCAAGGGTGTACAAAATGTACTAAGGTCAACCAATAATTTGTGTATAGACATTGTTTCCTATGTTTTATTTGTAAATCAGTTCTAAATATCTCTGAGATCTTCCCTTAAAAGAAATTAAAAACTGTTATTCATTCCCTTCTCCTATTAATCAAGATGGCACCTATTTTAGTTTCAGCATACATCATCAGCTACTTTCTACAAAGGCCTGAAAATTAAACAGCTATTCCTATATCGTACTGGTTTCTTTCCATTGGCCTATAAAGATGCTCTAATCTCTTACCTTAAAAAGATCTCTCCTGATCTTGTACTCTTTAGCTATACTACTTTCCTTTATTTTCCTCTAAGCGAGGTATTTTACAAAAGGAGATAGGAAAAAAGCCTATGAAAAAAATGCTCAACGCAGAAATGCAAACTAAAATAAGATACCATTGCACATCTGCTAGAATGATAAACAGGAAACAATCCAAATATCCAATAGGTAAGTAGTTAAACAAATTGTGGGATATTCACACAATGGAATACTACACAGCAAGAAGTTATAAACTACAGATACATGCAAAACATGGATGAATTTGAAAAACATTATGCTGAGCAAAATAAGTCAGATACATAAGACTATATATTATCTTATTCCACTTACATGAAATGTCCAGAAAATACAAATTTGTAAAAAAAAATGAGTGGATGCCTCCGGCTTAGGGAGTGGGATGAAGGTGGTTATTGTCTACAAAGGGTCATGAGGGAGCTTTGAGTAGTAATAAATATTTCTATAACTTGATCGTGGTGGCAGATTACACAGGTGTTACATATGTGTCAAAATTTATTGAGCTATACAATAAAATACACTCATTTTGTGTAAGTTATCTCAATAAAGTTGGTTACCAAAGAAAATATGCCCATACCTCAAAAACTACTGAAGATCTTTACATACATATCTTTTACTTTACATTTTGACTCAAATGAGATCATGCTATTCATACTATTTTATAAGAAGTTTATAACTATTTCGGTTTGATACTTATTAAAATATCTTATTTTTCTATGTAACTAAATATCCTTTCCAATTTTATACTTCAATAGAAACATAACCATTGTAGTCCTCTCTGGCTGTCAACTTACAGGATCAAGCCCAAGCTCCTTAGCATTTTTCCCGACCATCTTCCGATTCTTGCCTCTTTGCCAGCCCTATCTCCTGGCATTCGTCATTCCTTAATCATTTTGTCCAGTCATAAACTGCTTGTTGTTCCCTGCATATGCCATGCTGTCTCTCCACGAAGACTGATTATGCTAGCTGTCCCAGCTACCTGAATTGACTTATTCTAAATATTCCTAGATATCAATGCTCATCTTGTAAGTCTGAACACACATGATTTAAAATTGTTAATAGGACTGTATCCCTACCAGACTGAGCTCATTAAATATGGAGCTATATCTTATTTAGCTTTGTATCCAGCTATTGGCAGAATGCCTGGCAAACAGCAGTGTTTGATGAATTCAATAAAAGGAAGAGAGGGCAGGAAGTCATCCCTGATGTCTCCTTTACTTTTATTCTCCAAGTAGAGGCAATGTGTCATATTAATTTTCTATTTAAATATTTCATTTCATGTTCAATTGCTATTCAAAATCTCACATCTGGACAATTACAATAGCCTCCACATTCTATGCCTCCAATCTTGACCTCACACATCTTCCACAATGTATCAGAATAATACTTCAAATTAAAAGCCTATTTATATCAAATTCTTGTTTAAAACCTTTCCATAGCTGTGCAATCACTTATAAACTTCCTACTTTAAACTTTTCTTTAGAGCAATTTTTTGTATTAAATTTGAGACACACATAAACATCTAAAATTTCCTATCCACCATCTAGAGATAGCCTTGTTAATAATTTATTTCTTCCAATATCTCTTATATGCATAGTTGAATAGGATATTTGTTTGTTTGTGTACAAGTTGTATCTATATTTTAATAGGCAACATGCTGAATATCAAATGAATCTGGGTTTTTGTTCTCAAAGTAACTAATTCGACCTATTCAAATTAGAAACAAACTCATATTTTCCCTGTTCCCCTAAAACTTTGTATTCAATTACTTTTTCCTATTTTACTGCACTAGCTAGTAACTCCGGAAAAATGCTGACTACTAGTGGTGAGACTCTGTAGTCTTTGTCTTATTCCAGGGTTAAAAAGCAATGTGTTGGGTCTTTCACATTAGGTAAATGTTCCCTATTGGTTTCTGATATTATTTTTCACCAAGTTAACAGAATGTGCCTGGTTTTCTAAGAATTTTCATCAAGGAAAAGCTACTGAATTTTCTTCCTTCTGAATTTTCTCCTTTCATCTACTCACATTAGTTAATTATTTAAAAACATTTACGAACATGGATCTATCATAAGATAAATTTAAAATGATTAATATGGCTTATCTGGCCTTCACGATCTAGATGCTTCTAGGACCATATCCTATGCCTTACTCATTGTTAAAGAATCGTGCAGGCTTTCTCAGTCACTACTGTCTTTGTACTCTTTGACAATGGAATGGCTTTTCCTCTTTTGGGGGCTTCTTGGTAAATTCCCAATCATCCTTCAAGACTCACCAAATTAAGATTTCTTCTGTTTCTTCTTTTCTCATCACTCACAGAATTGGTACAACTCAACCTGTGCTTGGTACCTTTCTCATACTGCCATCAGAGTACTTCTCATTAGACTGTAATTATTTCATTGTTCTTCCGTAGTGACAGCCTAACTCAACTTTTATAGACTGGTTGATGGACATTTGGGTTGTTTCCAGTTTCTATTATCTGACTATGAACATTTGTGCATAAGCCTCTGTATGGATGTTTTCATTCCACTCAGGTACATACCCAGAAGTAGAATTGCTGGGTCACAGTATATATGGTACATCAGCTTTAGTAGATATTGCCAAACATTTTCAAAAGTGGTAGTACCAAATTCTACTCCAGCAGTAATGTATGAGAGTTTCAGTTGTGCTATAAGTTCACCAACATTTGATATTACCAGTCTTTTTTTTTTTTAAAGTCTCATTCTGGTGCCCATGCAGTGGTATCTCGCTTCGTTTTAATTTGCATTTCTCTATTGGCTAATGATGCTAAACATCTTTTCATACTTACCAGCCATCTGGATTTTCTGTTTTTGTCAAGTATCTGTTAAATTCCTTTGCCCATTCTTTAAAAACTGAGTAGTCTTTTTCTTAGTAATTTGTGAGAGTTCTTTTGGAAGTAAGTTTTTGTCGTATCGACTACACACACATCCCCACATATAGACCTCATTATCTCAAAATCATATAATCAAATACCATTGCCTAGTCTGTTGGCTTGCATTTTTACTGGATAAGCAAAAGTTCATTCAGTGAAACCCAAGTTCTTAATCTTTTTTTGATAAAAATCACTTTAATGACCAAAAAAAGTTTTGTTTATTAATAAATATCCTACACTGTCAAAGATTTAATCTGGATCTCAAAATTTAGTGTTTTTTCATAGGATTCATTACCTATTATATAGTTCGTATTTAACTGATATTTTAAATTATAAAACAAAGAACACTTCTCACTGTTTTAAGATTCTTTCACTGAATTCACTGAGTTAATTTTTTACTTACTCAAATTAAATTTCCACTTAAAAATAATGCAACTGAAGCACTGGCAATTTCTTCTTTTAAATACTGAATATTAAAATAGCTGGAATTATGAAGGCCAAAAAACAGAACATTAGGCAATGGGCACATGAACAGTCTAGTCTTATGTCAGTCACAAAACCTCACCTGGCCTCAGTATTCAGAAATATAAAACAGAAAAGTTGAATTAGATGATTACTAAGGTTTTTCCAGCTGTCAAATAAAGGCAATGCCTGTATTTAATGTTCTGAGTTCTGTTATCAGATTTAACACTCTTCTTTGATGAACTCTGTATATGTATTTTTCTTAAGTGTTATGCACTGTAAGTCTGGGCTTTCACACAATTGTGCATGAACAACTCCATGGGAAGTCATTCACATTGCAGGCCAGTCGAACATGGTGGCCAACTAGGTTTATTATGTTGCACTCATTTTAAGACCAGTCTTGGCCTAAGGTCACTATCACCCACATATCTCACCATCACCAAAGCAATACAATTCTCAAGTATTATTGAAGATATTTAAGGATGTGAAAGCAAACCTTCAGAAAACTTCCTTGATGTGGTACTTCCAAAATTGTGAACCATATCAATATAGTAACGATCCTAAAACTAATATTCAAAATTGATTTTTAAAGTCCTTTACATCCACTTCTTTCCCAAAGCTTTTATTGTTCAAGCCACTTCTAGTTCTTTGCCTCTCTCAATACTAAAACCCCATAAGCTACGTTGCTGCTTTTAACCTTTCTTTACACTTTCTGTTGTCTCTGTCATGTTCTTCAACGGGAGCAGTTTTGATCTCTCTTGCTTATCTCATTTTCTTTTCCATGCATTGTTCTATTCAACAAAACAAAGACCCAGTAGCTAGCTGGACAAACCTTCCTCCTAAAGATAGGGAAGATAATTACAATTACTTATTATGCATTCCTCCCAACCCTATACAATAGAAGTTATGCTCTATTTCTGAATAAGATATTCTGTTATTCCAATCTCTGTAAGGAAAGTAATTTTCAGAAAACCATTCAAATTGTGATAAGTAAAACTATATGGATAACTTTTTAATAAAAATTTTTATTTTACATATTTAATTTTAATAATAAAAGATGAGCACAAAGAATAGGTTTCAACTAGCTTTTTTAAACTCTAGTAGATGGCAAATCTCCTTTCTAGGAAGAGGTCCTTAGGTCACAGTTTCCTATCGTGGGCAACACTAGACTTGGCCACTCTTAACATATGGGATCTTTGCCCACAGTTGACATCTAAATGAAGAAAATATATTCTGTACTAATCTAAAAAGTGCCTCCTAACCTACTGTGCAGTTCTCTAGCTTTGGAGATCCTCCCCTTCGCTCTAGCCCATTCTGTCTTGTGCCTGGGTTAACGACAGATTTACTTGATGGGCTTCCAGAATTATTAGTTTTTATAACATCAAAATAACTTAAAAATCATATAATAATGACAGGATGTCTACCCTAAAAAATAGGAGATGGCTTATTTATATGCTTTTAAAACTTTCAATTTAAAAGATATCTGCAGAACACATTAAACAATGAACATTAACAAGCAGCAGAAACTAGAACTTAAAAGTCAGCAGGTTAACAAGAGGAACTCTCACTACATGTTAAAATTTAATTATTTTGGAGCTTCTACACCGTGTTTATAGAAGAAAAAACTTCAAAATACAGTTACGCACCACCTGACAACAATACCTTCTAAGAAATGCATCACTAGCCGATTTTGTCATGCAAATATTATAGAGAGCACATATACAAATCTGGATGGTATAGGCTATACACCTAGGCTATGTAATAAAGCCTACTGCCCCTAGACTACAAACCTGTACAGCATGTTGCTATACTGAATATCATAGGCAACTGTAACACAATAGTAAGCTTTTATAGTACTGGCAGTGCAGTAGGTTTAGATCAGCATCACCACAAACGTGAGTAATGTATTGCATTAGAACGGTACAATGTCACTAGGCGACGGGTATTTTTCAGCTCCATTACGAACTTATGGGATCACAGTCACGTATGTGGTCTGTCATTGACTGAAACATCGTCATGCTGTGCATGACTGTATCTACAAGTCACAAATCTTAGAAGTTATATATTTATGATAACTGATTATCAAACATAATTTTACTTCATCAGTATTCATTTCTCAGTTTATAATGTATAATGCTTAAAATAAAACTATACCAAAAGCATCAAAAAACTTTCCCCTTTAGTAATTTAGACAAATATTTCTCTTACTATGCAAATATACACATTTTATATACAAAATTCTCTTCTTTCACGAAACTGAATTCTCAATCTGAAATATCTTTTTTTCAGGATAAAAGGTATGTAGCAAATTTTTCCTAACAATAAATTATGTGATCAGTAGTAATTAACTCAAAAAAGACTTATATTCACAGTAGAATTTTCCAATAATACTGCCTTACTATCACTAACAACCGAGATCTTCAGAACACATACCTCTTGAGCAAGCTCTTGTGCGCTGGAGATGAGAGGAAATGGAGGACTGGCTTTGTTCATGTGCACTGTGACAGCATTGTGTATCTTAAACGCATTCTGGAAATCTTTATTTTGTACAAGTTGTAAAAGCAGTGAAATATCCTCCTGGCTCTGAGAATCTACCAAAGTATGTTGGATGTGTTTAAGTGAAGAAAACAAGTCTTCTACTTCTAGTAGGAGAAGGAAAAGGCATCCAAAAATTAATTTTGTCTTAATTCAACATTTAAAATAAAATTTCTGGAACAATTTACATTTTCAAAAAAATGAAACACTGCCTGTATTTTGATGAGTGTCAAATCATCGTCATTTTACTGATTTTAAAGTAAAACGCTAAAAATTATACAACAGAATAGGATAACATTTTCCAAGTGTTTTAATTATAAAACAATTACATACTATAAAAATACAGAAATAAAGACATTTAAAATCATCAACAGTCCCAGCACCTGGAAACAACTTTATTTTAAACATCTTACAGCATTTCCATTTTTCATTTAACAGTCCATTTTAATTGTTTTCCCAAATCACCAAATAGTCTTTAAAAAACATTATAATGGCCCCATGATATTCTATTATATGGCTAAACCATAATTTATAATAACTGTTAAAGGGGAGCTTTCAGGTTGCTTCCAATTGTTTACTACTATGAGCAATAATAAGCACTTCAGCACATAATGATGACTTCTGCATAAAAATTTGTCTAAGATTTTGATGTTTTCTTAAAATAAGTCCTATAAATAGAATATAAAAATAAGATTCTGACATTTTAAAAGTCAAACAGCTTTCCAGAGCAGTTTTACTAATTTACATCCCATTAGCTATATTTTCATCAATAGTCGACATTACCATTTTTTAAATGAACACATGAATCTCATAAAATTATATTGAAAGTTGTGGCATGTGTATGTGTGTGCATGTGTATGTGTGTGCATGCCTGTCAGTGTGCACAAGCAGCACATGTATTTTCTGGGAGATACCCAAAATGGTTAAGAACCACAGGTTGTTTCTCTCCTGCCCCTCAAAACAGGTAGATTTGTTATAAATGATTTTCTAATTTTTCCATTTGTATGTTCATCATATTTGTGGCAGCTTTTATTGTAGAAGTTTTGAAATCTTGTGTGTTAAGGATAATCCACCTTTCCTTTTGTGATTTCCTTCACTGTTTCTATGCTTATAAACTCCTTCCTCTAGATCATGAAATATTTACCTACTTTCTTCAAGCTTTTTGTAGCTTCTATTTCAAAATAAACTTTAATCCATTTAGAATTCATTTTGGTATAGATTTGAAGGGAAATTTTAACTTCATTTCTTTTCTTCTAAGTGGTTAACCAACTGTTCTAACACCATTTGTTGAATAATCCTTCTGTTTCCACTGATCTATAATACTATCGAATTCTTATATACATCAGGGTCTGTTTCTAGTCCATTGGTCTATCAGAATCACAATGTCTTACCATAGTAGCAGTATAGTCTCTGCTCACATTCACATGACAAGTACTTGTTCATTACTTTTTCAAAAGTGTCCTGACTGTTCAAAATAAGTTACAGAATAATTTTTTCATGTCATCTCCCACTCTT